ACGGAGCCCTGGCCCAGGCTGCCCCGGGAGGCTGTGGAGTCTCCTTCTCTGGAGATATTCCAGCCCCGCCTGGCCGCGGTGCTGTGCAGCCTGCTGTGGGTGACCCTGCTTGGGCAGGGGGTTGGGCTGGGTGACCCACAGAGGTCCCTTCCAACCCCTACCATTCTGTGATTCTGTGAAGCCAGGCTTTGTTTGTGATAAAAACGATGTACGGGGAGTTTAGCAGCACAAGACAGAGCTGGGAGGGTGAGTAGCAGGCGTGACATACACGAGGCGGTTGCAGGCAAGCTGTGTGGTGCACGGAGTCAGAAATGTGCTGCGGGTCCTGCTAAGCTGTACCAGGGACTGGGGAGGGGATCTGGGGCACCGAAGGGTTCCTGCTCCTGCCCCTGTTGCTCGTCCTGGAGGCTCTCCTGTAGCCGAGGAGAAAGGCTGGTTTTGTGGGGCAGCAGCACAGAAGAATCATAGAATCATAGATTGGAAAAGACCTCTAAGATCATCGAGTCCAACCATCCACCCAACCCCACAATGCCTGCTAAACCATGTCCCCAGGTGCCACATCTACACGTTTTTTAAACCCCTCCAGGGATGGTCACTCCCCCACTGCCTGGGGCAGCCTGGTCCAATGTCTGACCACTCTTCCAGGAAAGAAATTTTTCCTAATATCCGATCTAAATCTCCCCTGACGCATCTAGAGGCCATTGCCTCTTGTCCTGGGAGAAGAGAGCAACCCCCGCCTCACTATACCCTCCTTTCAGGTAGCTGTAGAGTGCGATAAGGTTCCCCCTCAGCCTCCTCTTCTCCAGACTGAACAACTCCAGTTCCTTCAGCTGCTCCTCATCGGACTTGTTCTCCAGACCCCTCCCCAGCCTCGTTGCCCTTCTCTGGACATGCTCCAGCCCCTCCATGTCCTTCTGGGAGTGAGGGACCCAACGCTGAACACAGCACTCGAGGTGCGGCCTTACCAGTGCCAAGCACAGGGGCCTGATCCCCTCCCTGCTCCTGCTGGCCACACCATTCCTGGTCCAAGCCAGGATGCCGCTGGCCTCCTTGGCCACCCGGGCACACTGCTGGCTCCTGTTCAGCCGGCTGTCGACCGGCACCCCAAGATCCTTTTCCGCTGGGCCACTTTCCAGCCACTTCTCCCCAAGATTGTGACTTTGTCATAACAAAGCCTAAAAACGAGCAAAAAAGGAGCAAACTGTGATTTCCGAGAGGCGTCCCCGTCCCCTTCCAAGCAGCGGCAGGGGGGCAGAGCATGTCTCTGCAGGTGGCACCCCAAGCCTCCCTCTGACCCTTCAGATGAAGCAGGAGAACGAGAAGCGACCACCGCAGGTGCCCTGCTGGGCCGGTAGCTGTGTCCCGTGAAACCACGTAGGATTGCAGAGCGGCGGCGGCGGAGGTTTTTTCCCCGGCTTTCGTTTTCTCCTGTTCCACAAGATGGCATTGCAATCTAATGGCCTTCCTCCCGCCCCAGGTGGGTGCTCTCCTCACCCCGTCGCCTGCTCAGGGAGGGTTTTGGGGATGCCGAGAGCGGGGTGCGGGCTGCCGTAAGGCTTGGTGGTACCAGGTGGGGTGTTTCATCTTAGCAAATCGCCAAAATACTTGAATTAAAGACAAAGCTTTGCCAAAGCTATTAATTGGAGTTTTGGGAAGGTTTAATTTGTTTTAAAACAGAGTAGCTTGAATTATATAAGGTTTCCTCTAAAAAATAATGATTCATGCAGGCTGGGGCCGTTTCCTGCCAGATTCTGCGATCGCTCTGTTCGAAGTTAGGGTTATTTTTGCCATGGATTTAATTTTTTTTATAAATTATGGATGGCAGTTGCTCAGGTTTGTTCCTCTGACGTACGCTGCGTGTTTAGATGAGCAAGTCCCCGTCCATTTACTGTTTTCTCCGTGGAGTGGAGGAGCTGGTGTAGCGTGCCATTAAATCAACCTTTCCTGCAATCTGACTCTCGGAGCAGTTACACCGATATTCCTCCCCAGTGCTGCTCCGACGGCTGCGCTGGCTCCCAGTCACCTGTCTGTGCCTCGACGGGAGGAGTCGTCTTGGCCTGGCAAGTCATGTATTTTCCTGATTTTTTAATATTTTTTTTCCCCTCCTTCAGTTCCTTCCATTTTAAGCAATGATATGTTGAAAAGTTTGTTGTGAGCTGTTACCCCTGTGAGAAAGCTTTGAATATATGCTTACAAAAATCTCAAGGGTGGGTGTCAGGAGGATGGGGCCAAACTCTTTTCAGTGGTGCCCAGCGACAGGACAAGGGGCAATGGGCACAAACTGAAGCCGAGGAAGCTCCAGCTGAACAGGAGGAAGAACTTCTTCCCTCTGAGGGTGACGGAGCCCTGGCCCAGGCTGCCCAGGGAGGCTGTGGGGTCTCCTTC